AATAATGTGTCTCTATTTCCTGACTGCTCATACCAATGGTGTTAATTGTGGATCCAAGCAAGATGAAGCTGTTGACAGTTTCAATCTCCTCTTCATCCATCATGACACTGCATGTCCTGTGGGAAGAATCTTTACTTCCTTGATATTGAGATGCAATTCATACTGAAGGCTATATTTTTTATCTTATTTATATTTTATCTTCTGCAACAAGTGCTTCAAGTCTTCCTCACTTTGAGCAAGTAAGGTTGTGTCATCTGCATAATGCAGGTAATTGATGAGTCTCCCTCCAATCCTGATGCCACACTTTTCTTCAGAGTCCAGCTTCTTGCATAGTTTGCTCAGCATGTAGTTTGAACAGGTAATTAGAGAGAATACAACCTTGACACACTTCCTTCCAAATTCCACATCATTCAGGACTCCCCTGCTCCATTCACACAACAGCCTCCTGATCCAGGTATAGGTTCCACATGAGCACAATCAAGTGCTCTGGGATTTCTATTCTTAATCTCATCCACAACTTGTTATGATCCACACAGTAAAAAGCCTTTACAGAGTCAATAAAGTATAAATAGACATTCTTCTGGTATTTCTTTATGGTCTTATTGTAGGATTGGGAATATACTCTAAAGAAACCATAACTGCCAACCAAGTTGATATATTCACAGCCATGTTAATTGTGGCTTTGTTTGCAATAGCAAAGAGCTGGAAACAACCCAAGTGCCCATCAACAAACAAATGGATAGAGAAGCTGTCGTATATTCACACAACAGAATATACTATAGTGCATTGGAAAACAAGGAACTTGTGAAATAATATATAAAATGAGTGACCCTGGAGAACATTATACTGAGTGAAATATCTCAGTCACAAAAGGACAAAAATTGCATCGTGCCACTGTTGTAAAACGGGACTGACATCAGGCTTGGGAGGGAACCTAAAAAAAGAAGGGATACTTAATGTATACTGCATTGAAACAGATATGGGAGAGAACTGTATAAAAGGAATATTTGATTGGGTATTATTTTCATTACAAGAGTCCCGAATGAGAGCTGCAGAGCAAAGTGGACTGGGGGAGATTGTAAATCAATGAAATATTTTTTTTTGTTTTCAAAGGGAAAAGTAAACTAGGGGGAAGGGGCAGGGAGGAACATGTGCAACAATGTATGAATAGATATCCAAAGTCTCTGTAAATTTTCATTAAAATTTCAATGAAAAAAAGAAAAACAAAAAATCACAAGGAAAATAAAATTTTATTTAAAAAAATAAGGTATATGGAGGAAAAAGTAACATAAATATATTTACATATTGCTGAGCACTGAGCAACAAACCCAGAAGTTGATAACCTTCAAAACTGACTCACTAGACTGCAGGCTTATGACATTTTTATTGCTTATGAAAAAGGAAGTTACATCTATTAATCAAAATTAGATATCAGGGTGGAGTATGTATGCAGTGGTTATGCATCTCATGTGTCGGAAATGGTATAATTAGCATAATTATTATTGTTGGTATGTGTCATTGAGTCATCTCTGACTCATAGCAACTCTATGAATTATCCTTAACTTATCCTGTGCCATTCTCACAGTTTCTACTTTGCTTAAGCCAACAACATTGCTACTGTCACTGTATCAATCCATCACCTAAAGGATCTTCTTCTACTTCCCAAGTATGATGCCTCCTGGCAACATACACAAAGTATGTGAGATGATGTTTCACGGTCCTTGCCTGTAAGGAGCATCCTGGTTACATTTCTTCCAAGATAGATTTGTTTGCTTTTTTGGTACTCCATGAGATCTAGTGGCCTGGTCTATAAGGAATTGTACTGCTGAGCCAAAGGCAGCACCTCTCTGGTGATTTCCATAGAGCTTTCAGGAGAAAGATAAGCGATCTCTGCCCCATGTGGTTTACAGACTCCCAAAAGCACACCGGAGGATCAGCTATGAGGCAGTTCCAACTCTATGACAATGATTTTGAGTTTTGTTAAAAATCGGAGGGATTTTCATAGGGGTATCTCACAGTTTACTTATTTTTTGTACATGCACAGCAAAGCAAAGTTGATTGCAGGGACTTGAACCAGATTCTGTTTGATAACTTTTTTTGGTTTTGTTTTTTTTTTATAACTTTTAAGGCCTGAAAAGAAACACCTTTAAAGTGGTTAAGTAAAGCTTTGGAAGAGAGCAGACATGGTTTATGGAATTCAAGTCCTTGGCATCACGTTGGCCAATCTTTGTGCAACTATTGAAAATGCTCTTGGTTTACAAAGGGGAAAGTGTTGTAAGAATATTTAAAAAAACAAATAAACAAATCCCCTGATGACAACAACAGATAATAGCAACATCAGTCTGAGAATTTTGCTGGGTATATTTAAGACCTTGTGCATTTCTGTCCATTTTACACGTTCTTTCTTCTTTAAGCAGTTGCCTGAATTGTCTATCAAAAAATATAAAGCACTATTTCACATCTTCTTAATGTTTAAATGCGGGGCAACTGGCATTTATACACTGAAAGGGCAACCAGTTATCCTGAATATGTTGATTGCACCAACAGTGGCTGAATTATCTCACTTTATCTCAAAAAACTTCATTGTCCGTAGAGAAGATTCTGAGTCATAGTGACCCTTCATTGGGTTTTCCTGGACAGTAAACTTCAGGGGGAGAGACCATATGTTTGTCCCATAGTGTTGCTGAATTTGAATCAAATGGTGACCCTGGGCCTTAGGACTAGCAGAGCAATTTCCTACCAACTATGCTCTCTCATCTTTCCCTAGCCCCAACATAAGCTTGAGTCAGAGGCATAAAGAAAGTCTAGGGATTAGGTAGGGGAAACAGTTCAGGACATGTAGAGTCTTTAAAAAATTTTTCCCCCAAGCAACAAATGCTGGTGAGGTTGTGGAGAAACTGGAACACTTATTCACTGTTGGTGGGAATGTAAAATGGTGCAACCATTGTGGAAAGCAATGTGGCGCTTTCTCAAAAATTTGCAAATAGAGATATCATTTGACCCAGCAATTCCATTACTGGGAATATACTCCCGAAAGACCATAACTGCCATCCAAGTGGATATATGCACACCCATGTGTATCACAGCTTTGTTTACAATAGCCAAGAGTTGGAAGCAACCTAAGTGCCCATCAACAAACGAATCGATATAGAAGCTATGGTATATTCACACAATGGAATACTACGCCACATTGAAAAACAAGGAACTCATGCAATATTATTCAAAATGGGTGACCCTGGAAGACATTATGCTGAGTGAAATATCTCAGTTACAAAGGGACAAATTCTGCATGGTGCCACTGTTGTAGAATGGGACTGACATCAGGGTTGGGGTAAGACTGAGAAAAAACTGGATAAATTATGTACACCGTAATGAAATAGATGAGGGATAGAACAGATTAAAGGCAATATATGATTAGGTACTATGGTTAGCACAGGAGTCTAGAATTAAGGTTGCATAGGGAAGTGTTCTCGGTGTGGGGGCAGGGGATGAGGGAATTGTATACCAATGAAGGAGTTTTTCTTTTGTCTTTCCAAGGAGAGGAGCGAACTGGAGGGGGGGGGGTGGGCAGGGAGAAAAGTGCAGCAATGAATGGATGGATGGAAATCCAAATTCTCTGTAACTGTTCATTAAAATTAATAAAAAAATGAGAGAAAAAATTTTTTCCATCATAATTCTCTTTTAGGCTGAACATTTTCATTATTTGTCTAAAGTCTCCTTGCAACTCTGAAAGTAGAAATAGGATTAAAATTCTGGCTATTGTATAAGGTGCTCCCACCCTTCCCTTAATGAGGAAGAAAAGGAATTTTGGAGATTGACGTGGAGCCAATGTAATTAGCTCAAATCCCATTGTCAGAGAGTGGAACTCAGAGATGCCTTATTCAAACTCAAAGTTACCCTAACAGAGCAGAGTAAAACTGCTTCATGGTTGAACTGGACTGTCTTGGTGCTAGTGGTTTGAAACTTCCAACCTTTGAATTTGCAGCTAAGCACTTTTCTCATAGCTCCACTAGGGCTCTCTGGAACCGTTTATTATCTACTGAAGCCCAGTGGGAAACATAGGTTCTGAAGCTGTGAATCTTTATGGAATGAGACTATGTCTGTTTCTCTAATGTTGCAGCTGATGGATTCTAACCTTTAAGTGAGCAGCCCAACATGGTAATCAGAGTTTCCAGGAGTCACTGTTAGTTGCCATGGAGTTGAGTACAGCTAATAGCTCCTCCATAAACCTTGCCCTATCCTGTGCTGTCTATATTATCTTTAACATACTTGAGTTCATAGCTGTAGTCATTGTTATCAATCCATCTGGTTGAGGGTCTTCCTCCCATTCGCTGACCGTCCACCTTTCCTAGCATGATGTCTTTTTCCAAAGACTGGTCTCTCTTAACAAGATGGCCGGTTTATGAAACGAAATTTCAGTATCCTTGCTTCTAGAGGCATCCTTGCACTTCTTCCAAGACAGACTAAGAATTGGGAATTAGCCAGGCAGCGGCGCAGGGAGGGAGCAGGAAGGGGCATTTTATTTCATTCAGGAAGACTTTAGTTGCTCTAAGGCAGCAATAATAACTGAAAATGTGCTGCGCGCTACCAACCAGATATACAAATATGCAGAAGAAAGATAGGCAGACTCCTCTTGTAATGATTTACATTCTCAGAAACCCGATGGAGTGTCGCCTTGAGTCGGAACCAACTCAGTGGTAGTGAGTGTGGGTTTTTTTGGTTTGTGTTCAGGACTCTCAACCAACTCCTGATAGCTAGAAGGGGTGCACGTAGATGATAAAGTTGAGTAAGCACCTGGGGGTCGCAGACCGACAGAAGGACCTGAGAATGAAGGGAGACTATGTAGGAACTGTGGTCCAGAAAAGACAAGACGAGGTGACCAAGGTACAGTGGGGCTACCCGCAGTTACCTGGCGCCTTTCGGTGACGCAACTGCTGCGCGATGACGCGCCAACCTGCCATGACCTCCACGTCTCAGTTTCCGCAAAGGCTTGTGGGAGCGACCTCAGTGAAGGAGGATCATGATGGCGGAAGCGGCAGAGTCTTCAGGAGACCATAGGACAGTGCCACCCAGGCCGCTGGTGAGCTCGGAATCTGCGACAGAAGGGACTGAGGGTGAGCCTTTCAGGCTTGCTGTCAGAGAGAGACAGGAGCCATTTACTCCCAGCTGGCCCTTACTGTACTTGATTCCAAGACCAGTCCAAACTGTTCTTTGGGCTGACTACTTCCTTCCTAACTTCATCGTGTGCCTTCCAAGACTTTTTGAGAAACACTCGTTCTCGTTGCTTTCCCATATTCTTAGGCTTTGACCTTGTTTCCTACCCAATGTGAAATGCTAAGTTTTAATTATTTCTTCAGTTATCCTTGGCTACCCTCTCTAAACTTGTCCTTAGCTCTTGTTCAAGTTGTAGCATTCTAGAAGTAATGAGAGATTGCTTTGCATGGAATGTTTGTTACGTATAACGTAATTCTTGTTCATCAACTTAGGTAGCAACTTAAAGTAGGCTTGGATATAACCTTTACCTACCTATACCTTCCTTTGCCATTCTTTGCAGCATACTCCCTTTTTATCAATCAACACATGGACCAATGTAGACCTCACAAGTGTTGGAATTAGATCTAGGTTGAAATCAGCCACTATGCTGCGTGTATAAATTTGAGGGAGTTATTTTGTGGAGGTTGTTTCTTTAGCTGTAAAAGTAAGATATAAGTGCCTCAGAGTATTTCTTTTACCCGATCAAGTGCTATAACGTATGTAAAATACAGAGATGTACCATGAACTGGGGAGTATGATTACTTCAACATGATCCCCCCGACCTGTTTCCTTCTAAAATGTTTCTCAATAAACTTCACTTTCTTCTGTTTTAAACTGGCAACATAGTTAACATAGTAAACAATTGAACTGAGAGTTAGGTGGGCTTGATTTTATTCCTTATTCTGTTGCTTAATAACTCTTATTTACCTCTTCATTTATTCAACAGATATGTTGAACATCACAATATTTTAGGCATTGTTTTAGGCAGGGGATCTAGTAACTAAGCTAATGCTGGTGGCCTAGTGGGTGGTGGTTGTTAGGTGTCATCGAGTTGAATACAACTCATAACAACCCTATGAACAACAGATCTGAACCCTGTTCTATTCTCTGCCATTCTCAAAATCTCTGACACACTTAATCCCTTACAGTGCCAACCTAAAGGCAAGTGGTTCAAATCCTTCAGCTGCTCTTCAAGACAAAGATGAGCATTCTCCTTCAGTGGGATTTACAACTTCTGAAACCCTACTGGAGGATCAGCTATGAATTGGTCCTGACTTGATGGCAACAAAAGAACAAAGAGGTCTAAGTTCTCATGGATCAAGTATAACATTGAAGAAGTCACATCTCAACCCCAGGATTAAAAAGACTACATAATTTAATTTGCACATAGTGCTTGAAATAGTTACAAATCATTATCTGATTTTGGTTCCTATCGTTCATCTAAACTGTCACACCAATTCTCCATTAAGCTTTTTTTCAGATAGCTTTGGTTCTAGTCACCCATAACTCAAGAGCCAATCCAGTTCTATTTAATAAATTTTTATTGCACATGTATAATACATTCTGCTAGGTGCTTTAGGAAATCCAAAGGCCATGTTACTTTAGTGCTTACGGTCTCATTGTTAGGCATAAAAAAGAAGTTGCATATTGCTCTTATGTGCCATTGAGTAAAAAGTTGCATACGAATCAATAAAATGTTGTTATGTGCTGTCAAGTTGCCTGCAACCCATAGTGACGCTATGTATAGAAGCTCTGAACCCTGCCCTGTTCTGAGCCAGTCTCATTAATTCTGACACATCAGCCTCCATTGCCCCAGTTACTGTATCAATCCATCTCATCCAGGGTCTTCCTCTCCTGCCCTCCACCCTTCCGAGCATGATGTCCTTCTCTAAAGACCAGGCTCTCCTGGCCATGTGCCCAAAGTATGTGAGATGGAGTTTCAAAATCCTAGCCTCCAAAGAGAAACTTGGTTTCACTCTCTCCATGACAGACCTATTTATTTCCTTGTCCAGGGTCCTTCCGGACTCTCTTCCAGCACCACAATTTAAAGGAGAGTTTAAAATAGCGAATTATTATGTTTAGTTGGGGTGCTCAAACAAGTGAAGTAGTATATTTGAGAGGGTCTCAAAGCATCTGTAGAAATTAGAATTCCAAGTTAATGTAATAGTTGGATTTGAGCACTTGCTAAGTGCCAGGCATATTTTGTAAACTTAACAGCATCCATTAGTTGGGTACTTTTTAGCTATGTTTTCTAGATTTGTAATCTATTGTGAAGTGAAGTCGGAGAAAGCGTGATGATTTCCCTAGGGTGGTGATTGTCATGTACCATCAAGTTGCCTGCGACTCATAGTGACCCCTCTGTACATTAGCTCTGAAAACCTGCCCTATCGTGAGCCAATCCCATCTTCTCTGACAGAGCTAATTCCATTTTTCCACTTACTGCATCAGTTCATCTTATCTTGGGTCTTCCTCTTCTACGCTGTCCCTTCACCTTTCTAAGCATGATGTCCCACTTCAAGGACTAGTCCCTCCTGGCCATGTGCCCAAAGTATGTGAGAGATAGTTTCAAAATCCTTGCCTCCAGTGAGTAGTTTGTTTTTATCCTCTCCAGGGTAGACCTGTTTGTTCTCTTGGCAGTCCATGATATATTCAACACTCTTCTCCACCACAATTCAAAGGCATCAAATCTTCTATCATCCTTAGTTACTGTTCAGCTGTTGGAGGCATAGCAAGTAATTGCAAAGACCATGGCCTAAATCAGGCACACCTTAGTCTCCAGACTTATATTGTTACTTTTCAGTACTCTAGAGAGTTCCCTGATAGCAGACTTTCCCAATGCAATTTGTCTTTTGATTTCCTGACTACCGGTGCCAAGAGTATTGATTGTGGAACCAAGCAAGCTGAAGTTATCAACAATCTCAATCTCTTCTCTGTTCATGATGAAGCTGCGAATTGGCCCAGTGGTGAGGATCTTTGTTTTCTTGATGTTGAGCTTCAATCTGTATCGAAGGCTACAGCCCTTGAACTTTTGCAGCAAACACCTCATGTCCTCTTCAGTTTCAGCAAACAGGGTTGTGTCTTCTGCACAGCACAGTTTATTGATGAGTCTTCCTCCAATCCTGATGCCACATTCCTCCTCATGAAGTCCAACCTCCCAAGTGATGTGTTCTGCATATAGATTGAAAAGATATGGAAATAGAATGCATCCTGATGCATAGCTTTCCTGATTTTGAACCATAAGGTGTTTCCCTGCTCTGTTCTCAGGACTGCTTCCTGGTCTAAGTATAGGCCTCACATGAGCTCAATTAAGTGTTCTGAGATCCCCATTCTCCTCAAGGTTAGCCACAGTTTGTTGTGATCCACACTGTCAAATGCCTTTGCGTAGTCAATGAAACACAAACGTTCCTTTAGTACTTTCTGCTTTTAGCCAAGATCCATTAACGTTGGTCATGATGTCCCTAGTTCCTCAGCTCTTCTAGACTCAGCCTGTACATCTGGCACTTCTCTGCTGAATGGGCTTAAGTATATTGGAGATCACGAGGGTAGGGCAAATTTCAGATTTGATTTTCTTGAGTGGCTGCTATGTTATAATCAAATCAGTGGTCCTTAACAACAACATTAGAGAACACAGGTACCCTAAGTGGTGTGTTGTTGTTGTTATGTGCCATCGAGTCACTTGCGACTCATAGCGACCCTGTGTACAACAGCCCTAAACTCTGCTCTGTCCTGTTCCAATTGCACTGTCTCTGACACTCCCATCCTGATTGCCCCAGTCACTGAATCAGTCCACCTCATAGAGGGCCTTCCCCTCCTGTGCTGTCCCTCCACCCTCCCAAGCATGATGTCCCTCTCCAAGGACCGGTCCCTCCTTACATGTCCAAAGTATGTTAGATGGAGCCTCAGAATCCTTGCCTCCAAGGAGCCACCCGGTTTAACCCTTTCCAGGATGAATCTGTTTGTTTTCTTAGCAGTCCATGGTACCCTCAATACTCTTCTCCAGCACCACAGCTCAAAGGCATCAATTCTCCTTCTATCCTCCTTGGTCATTGTCCAACTCTCTGATGCATAACAAGTGATTTCAAAGACCATGGCCTGTATCAGACGCACCTTAGTCTCCAGAGAGACACCATTGCACTTCAGTACTTTGGAGAGGTCCCTCAGCAGACTTTCCCATCGCAATATGTCTTTTCATTTCCTGGCTACTGGTGCCAAGAGTGTTGACTGTGGAACCAAGCAAACTAAAGCTGTGAACAATCTCAATCTCTTCACCATCCATCCTGATGCTGCCAAGTGGTCCAGTGGTGAGAATCTTTGTCTTCTTGACATTGAGTGGTGTAGTGAATTAAATATTGTGCTTCTAATGGAATATCAATAGTTTGACCCCACCAGTCACTCTGGGAGAAAAATGAGGCACTCTGTTCCCATTAAGATTTACAGCCTTGGACCTGATGAGGCAATTCTACTCTACCCTGTGGGGTTGCTTTGAGTAAAATATGATTCCATCGCAGTGAATTGCACATATCCATTGTTGTTGTTGCTATGTGCTGTCGAGTTGCCTGCGACTCAGCAACCCTTTGTACAGCAGCTCTTAAGCCTGTTCTGTCCTGAGCCAATCTCACTGATTCGAACCCACCTATCCCCATTGTCCCAGTCACTGTATCAATTCATCTCATGTGGGTTCTTCCGCTCCTCCATTGTCCCTCCTCCTTTCCAAGCAAGATGGCCTTCTCCAAGGATGTGTCCTTCTTGGCCACATGCCTAAAGTATGTGCTTCAAAATCCTAGCCTCCAAGGAGAAACTTGATTTCACCCTAAGACAGACCTATTGTTTTCTTTGTGATCTCTAGTATGTTGAAGACTCTTCTCCAGCACCACAACTCAAAGGCATCAATTCTTCTTCTGTCATCCTTAGTCATTGCCCAGCTCTCTGATTCATAGCAAGTAATTACAAAGACCGTGGCATGGATCATGTGTACCATAGTCTCTAGGCTGACATCTTTGCTTTTCAGTACTCTGGAGAGGTCCCTGACAGCAAATTTTCCCAATGTAATTCTTTTGATTTCCTGACTGCTGGTGCCAAGAATGTTGATTGTAGAGCCAAACAAGCTGTGATTGTTAACAATCTCAATCTCTTCTCCATCTGTCATGGTGCTGCCAATTGACCTATTGGTGAGAATCTTTTTCTTCTTTATGTTGAACTTCAATCCATATTGAAGTAAGTGCTCAGGTCTTCATCAGTTTTAGCAAGCAAGGTTGTATTATCTGCATAACGTACATTGTTGATGAGTCTTCCTTCAATCCTAAAGCCACATTCCTCCTCATAAAGCTCAGCTTCCTGAATGATCTGTACTACATATAAATTGAAAAAGTATGGAGATAGGATGCATCCCTGATGCACTCTTCCTGATTTTGAACCATGCAGTGTTTCCTTGCTCTGTTTTGAGGACTGCTTTAAGTATAGATTTCTCATAACATAATCATTACTCATCTTAAATAGCTATAAGTGCTTTACTGTCTATCTCCAATATTTTTTATATGTATCATTATACATTTTCTCCAATACATTTATCTGTCTCCTCAATACATTTTTCCCGGACTGTTTTACTTTTTCTCTCTTTGGAAGTAACCTTAGATATATACTCAATCATTGCCATTGAGTTGGAACCAACTCATAGCTGATCCTCCAACAGCTTTCAGAGGCTGTAAATTGCACAAGAGGTGATTGCTCATCTTTCTTCCTCAGACCAACTGGTAGATTTGAACCATAGAGAGACACCATCTTTAGCAACACAACGTCCTATGGACTACACCACCAAAGCTGCCTTTAGATATATAGAAAATGTGGGGGGCGGGGGGGAGGGAACCCTTCTGCCCAGACTGTACATCCTATCCAACTTCCCCTTATATTAACATTATGTATAACCGTATACAACTGTCAAAACAAGGAAATTATCATTGCCACAGTATTATTTAAACTACACTTTGTTAAAATTTCACAATTCTTTGCATTATTTTTTTTTCCTTTTGTTGTTGTTCCAGGATCTTATTTGGAATATCTCCACAATGTCTGTATTTGTTGTGTGCACTTAAATTAGAACTATTCCATGACTGACCCTTTAGTGAGTTTTCAGAAACAGATAATTGCACTGGAGGAGCTTGTCTATCCTTCTGTAGAGCAGACTGTGTGCTTTTAGGGTTGTAACACAGTTTCTTGCTATTTGGCCAACTGTCAGTGCTTACTAATATGCAATGTTACTGTTGTTATTTTGTATCATAGAGTTGGAACTGATCCATAACTGACCCTGTGGCGGGTTTACCAAGGCAGCTAATCACACAGGAAAATCCCATCCTTCTCTCAGGGAGCAGCTGGTGGGTTCAAACTGCATGCCTTTGAGATTGCAGTGCAGCTTCTTATCACTAGGCCACCAGGGCCTTCAATGCATAATACTCATAATAGTGGCTCAGTATTTGTCTTTCATCTTTCTTAGTATTTTAAAGAAAATCCCATACAAACTTTGCCCACAAATACTTTAATATATTTATGTCTTTTAAAATGCATTTTTTTGTATTTTCATTGATGGTTTCCCTAGCAGTTTAGGTTTCCTTTCAATAATTTCTGTACAAGTTATTCAGTGACATTGATTACAATCTTCACAATACATGAACATACTCATTATTTCACTTGTGGTTTTTTAGTTTCCATTACTCTAGTTTTCTTGCTTTGTACATGGCTTTGCTCACCATCAGCTTTGACCTTCACCCCGTAGGTGGGAATATGTTAATTATGTCAATTAAAGGACTGATGATAGTATGCTAATTATACAAATTAAATGGATATCACTTTTTTGGGTGAGAATATACAAAGAACTCTCAAAACTACTTCCAAAAAGAGTGCTCTGGCCTAGATGCTTTCCCTAGAAAATTTTACCAAACATTAAGAGAAGTGTTGACACCAATTTTACTCAAAACAATTCCAAAACAAACAGAATGATGGGTTGATTCTTAACTCATTTTATGAAGCAAGTATAATTCTGGTACCAAAGCTAGAGAGAGAAACCACTGAAAAAAGAAAATTATGGACCAATAAATACTCTCATGAACAGAAATACAAATATCCTCAACAGAAGTTAGGGAGAATAGAATCCAAGAACACATTAAAAAAATAATACATCATAATCAGTTGGGATTTACATCCTCTGAAAATTTGCTGGAGGGTCAACTAACAGTTAACTCAAAGGTACATAACAACAGCAACTGCTGTTGTAAAAGAGATCACAGAACAGTTTCCTGGACAGAGTGTGTATTATTTGATTGATTGATTGATTGTGTGTGTGTGTGTGTGTGTGTGTGTGTGTGTGTGAAATGTCAAACAAAAGTAAAAATCACAAAAGTAATCAAGTTTGCTGGTCTAACAGACAATGCTTGAGACCTCAAGCCTATGCACCTTAATAATCGATTGAGCCAGGAACTAAACTCATCACCGTGACTCATCTTTCATTCAAATCATAAAAGCGTGCCATTCAACCATACAAGATTAAAAGTACAGTATTTGCCCAGGGAGAGAGTTCAGAATGCAGAAATGGTTAGGACAAAAGGTTGAATGAAGATGAGACTCACTGAAAAGGAATGGGAAGAGTTCTATTACAATATAGGGAGTATATGCCATAGAAAATCTGCTGTCAGGGACCTCTTCAGAGTGTTGAAGAGCAACTGTATCAGCCTAGAGACTAAGTTGTGCCTGATCCAGACTATAGTCTTCACAAGTATTTGCTATTCATCAGAGAGTTGGACAATGACTAAGGATGACAGAGAAAGAACCAATGCCTTTGACTCGTGTTAGAGAAGAGTATGTAACATACTGTGGACTGTCAAGAGAACAAGCAGGTCTGTTCTGGAGAGGGTGAAACTAGGCTGCTCCTTGGAGGCAAGAATTTTGAAGCTCTGTAGCACATACTTTGTGTGTGTTGCCAGTAGGGACTAGTCCTTCGAGAAGCACATCATGCTTGGGAGGGTAGAAGGACAGCACAGGAGAGGAAGACCCTAAATGAGATGAATTGACACAATAGCTGGTGTAATGAGGGTAAGTATGTCAGAGACAGTGAGATTGACCTGGGATAGAGCAGGGTTCAGAGCTATTGTGCATAGGGTCATTATGAGTCATGATCACCTCGACAGCACTTAACAGCAACAATGTATGCCATAGAACAAAAGTAATGCCATAAAACAAAATCTGTATTCAATGGGAAAATCAAGTCTGTAAATTTTCACTTAAAGCACAATAATTAGCAATCCATCGTATTTACATACTTGCCCCATCATATTTGATCTCTTTTAAAGAACAAAAAAGGATAAGCCTTTTGAGAATTAGTTAATTGTGCTGCTAACCAAAAGGTCAGAGGTTTGAACCCACCAATTACTCTCCAGGAGAAAAGTGAGATAGTTTCCTCCTGTTATTATTTATAGGTTTGGAAACTAAATGGAGGATATTGAGGAGTCAGAATTGAGTTGATATCAATGGGTTTGGTTTTTACTTGGTGTTGACTGATGTCTGTTAAGCTAACATCTTAACAACTGTGTAAAATCCTAAATAAAGACATGATCTCTACTTTCTCAGAAATTATGTCATGGAGACAGTTTATTATAACTTTATATTTTTTCCCTAACTCTTCTCAGTTTTCAGGCCTTTCAGGTATATCCATCTCACAAGACATCCCTGTAGAAGGAGAAATCACCATTCCTATGCGATCTCACAATCGAGAAATTGACAGCTCTACATTAAATGAATCTGTTCAGAGTACCATTGTAAGTTACACTAATTGATAATTGTTCAGTATTATCACACTAAACATGTAATAGCATTGTGCAGTATTTTGTTTTGTTCAGTTTTTTAATATATTTTACTTCTTTAAGATTTTCCGCAACAGTATAATTTGGTACAGCCTTTTGGAAAACAAATTGGCTCTAATAGGTATAAATGTTAAAATAATTCTGCTTCTTATATAATTGGATATTATTGTCATGACAGGAGTCTAGAATGAAGGCTGCACAGTGGAGTAGACTTGGGAGGGAGGGATTGCATAACAATGAAGGACTTTTACTTTTCAAGGAGCAGAGTGAATTGAGGGAGGGGGTGGAGAGGGAGAAAAGTGCAACAATGAATGAATGGAAACCCTAAGTCTCTGTAAACTTTCATTAAAATTAATTAAAAAAAAATTTGCTTCTTCAAATAGAACATAAGGAGGAAAAAAATTTTTTAAATAAAATTTTATTTTATGCTGGTTTGCTTACAAAGTTAGTATATATTGTTTTTCACACTGCTTATTTCCCATTTCCTTTACTACTCCCACTGCCCATCAAATAATGCAACCCTATGATTACCCCTCTGCCCATCCTCACTCCTCTGCTACGTTACGTTTTACTAGTTATCTTTCTGTTTCTACAATGATGGTCTTATACAGTTTTGTTCTTAAGGGACTGAGTTCACTTAGCATAATGCTGTCCAGTCCCTCTCAAGTTATGTAGTGATTTTCAAAATCCTTGATCCTGCATGCTGTGTAGTATTCCATTGTATGAATGGACCATAATTTCTCAATCCATTCGATTGTGGTTGGACATTTGGGCTGTTTCCATGTTCTTGTGATAGTGATTAATGCTGCTCTGATCCTTGGTGTACAAATATACATTTGTGCCTCTGTTCTAGTTTTCTTGGGATATTTTTCAAGCAGTGGAATAGCTGGGTCATATGGAATTTCTATGTTCAGCTTTCTGAGGAAACTGCCTTCCAGAGTGGTTATACCATTTTATAGTCGCACCCACAATGTATGAGTTCGTTCCTAAAGGAAAGTTTTTTTAAATACTGAAAAATGCTAATATACAACAATCTTCATTGCAGTGTTTTTTATAATAGGAATCAGCAGAATTATATTGATTATATAAATTATGTTATATCTGTGGAGTGAGATGCTAAATAACCATTAAAAATTATTCTTGAAAATAATTTTTAATGATATGGGGAAATTTGTAGGTGAAAAACAAGGACAGAATGAACTATATTTTTAAAAGCTACTATTAGTGTATCCTTTTCTCAGAAGTCTTAATGTTATTTTACCTGGCTTCTGGGATTCATTTGTCTGCTAAATTAAGAATGTTAGAAATTTATTTCATATATTAGAAGAATGCAATAAAAAGTACATGTTATAATGACTGTGATTTGGAAGCAGGAGTGGCATCCACTTCCTAAATAGCATGCCTCCGGAAACTCTAGTAACTTTGATAAGTGTTGATAATTGTAGAGGGCCTTCAGCCTTTTGTTTAAAAGGTTGTTATGAGTTGTGCTCAACGCGAAGGCAATCAGCAACACACAGTGAATGTGATATGTAGGAAGCAGGCTAATTGGCTAACTGACCTCGTCATTTACTAACTGAATTGCAGATAGCATGTTTTTCAGAGCAGCTTTTAGTATTGCTATTATTTTTGCTATTCATTGAACATATAGGGAGTGCTATGCTTTTCTTATACATAGTTTTCAAAATCATAGAGTTGATTGATACAGGGAAGTATTAGATAATGGCTTAATAGAATTAAGGCAATAGAAATTCATATGCTTGATGGTTTCTGTGGTTAGCTGTTAGAGGTTCAATACCTATATGTTAATTTGTTGTATTGGGGGAATAATTTGCATGTGGCAAGGAGCTGTGCTATAATTCCAAAGGCATGCCATTTGAGGCCACCAGCTGGTCTCCGGTAGAAAGATGGGCAATTTCCTCCTGTGCGATTAACTGTGTCTGAAAACCTGCCGGAGGGTCAGCTATGGGTCGGTTCCGACTCTATGGTATACAACAACAACAACAACTTGTTTTATAGCTTAGGTGTATATATACTTGCTTGTTTATTGTTTACTCTTGTTAGTACTTGTGTGTCAGTTTGCTGTACTGGATTACCGTATGGGTCCATGTGATACTGGAAGCTATGCCACCATTCAAATGCCAGCAAAGTCACCCATGGTGGACAGGTTTCAGTGGAGCTCCCAGATTAAGACAGATTAGGAAGCAGGATTGGCCATCCACTTCTAAAATAACAAACCTTTGAAAATCCTATGAACATTAGAGGAACATAGGTGTTAGAAGTAGAGCCTACATTGGAAGTCACTCAAAGATAATGAGAAACAGTGGTAAATATCCATTAATAATTGAAATGTGAAATGTATGAAATATGAATATAAGAAAACTGGGAGTTGTCAAAAATGAAATGGAGTGCCTAAAGATCAACATTCTAGGCATTAGTGAGCTGAGATGGACTGGTATTTACTATGAATCAGACAATATATTATCTACCATGACAGGAATGAAAAAATGAGGAAGAATGGTGTTTTAAAAACTATCCTGTGGGGGGATGTTATCCTAGAGTACAGTGCTGTGAATGATAGGAATCCATACATGTATAAGGAAGTCCCGTTGATACAACTGTTACTCAAATATACACACCAACAGCTAAAGCTAAAGAGGAAGAAATTGAGGAGTCCTATAAACCTTTGCACACCAAACTGGACCAAACATGTAAATAAGATGCATTAGTAATAATTGGGGACAAGAATGCAAAAGTTGGAGACAAAGAAGAAAGAATGATAATCAGAAATTATGGATTTGGTGAGAGACATGAGGCTAAATTTTATACATTGGGTTATTTATTCATTGTGAATACCTTTTTTAAGAAACACAAATAGTGACTATACACACGGACTATGCAGGAATCACATTGACTACATTTGTGGAAAAAATTACTGGGGAAGCTCAATGTCAGTAGTCAAAACCAGGTCAGGGGCTAACTGTGGAACAGATCATAAATTACTCATGGATAAGTTCAAATTGAGGCTGAAGAAAATTGGAATAAGTCTACAAGAATAAAACTATGACCGTGGATTCATTCCACCTGAATTTAAAAATCAGTTCCATAATAGGTTTGAGGCATTGAACACTAATGATTAAAGCTTCAGCTTCTGGTGTGTTTGGTAGAGGTCTACTGATCTAGCCACTCCACTTAGTCACTGGTAGATTAAGGCCACAAGAACAAACTAAAATTTGCTGTCAAAAACATGCTCTATTTTTAGACCTTTTTATTGTGACCTAGGTTAAAGTTGATTTTCCATCTGACTATTCGTATACTCTGTCAAAGACAGAGACTCGCTGAACCCTAACGGCACTCTACCCACTTCCTGTCTGTGGTACTTGTTTCCCTTCGTCCTTTTCTGTCTCTTCTGCCTTCTAAGCTTCCCCCCACCCCCACCTCTTTGCAAATGCTGCGCCCTGATCTGGGGCACCAGGTTTTCCAGGTTGGCTAAATGCCAGTGTGGAGACCAGCTTTATAGTTTGATGCCTTTAAGTGTGAAAATATATTTCTTTTTAACGAAGGAACCGACATTGCCATGGTGGTGGTAGCATTGCTGCAGCGTTCCTGACTGAAGTGCTCGATGCTGCGTGGAGAGCATCTTGGTTTAAATGTATGCACTGGACTGACTTGTGTTTCAGTCTCTTCTAAACCCCAGATAGTTTAGTTTGTTGTCTCCATCCCCTGGGAGTTTGTGGGACCTCAAAGCTTTCCCTCTCACCTTTTCCTTTGCTCTTTTGTATGTGAAAGAAATTGTATTTTTGTACCGTATCTTAGACCTGGAAGAAGTCTCTGATCTTCAGCACTGTAGACTATATTAGTGAAGATGTTATTAAATGTGAAAGTACAGTAAAAGGACTGTAGAACTGTTAAAAAAAAAAAAAAAAAAAAATAAAGATCAGATGGATTGTGGAATGATGTCAAGGATATCATCCATGAAGATAGGAAAAAGAAAGAACCAAAGTGATGTCAGAAGAGACTAAAACTTGCACTAAAATTGAGAAGCCAAAACAAAGAAAGTGTTGCTGAAGTAAAAGAAATGAACAGAAGCTTTCAAAGGGAAGCTCGAGAAGACAAGGCAAAGTATTATAACGGAATGTACAAATGTTGGGAAGAAAAAGAGAACTCCCTCAGTGTTTATTAAAGAGCTGAAAAACAAATTCAGGCTTCGAAGATCAATACTAAGAGATGGAATGGGGAAACCTAGGAAGTATCAAAAGAAGATGACGGTGAGTGAAATATCTCAGTCACAAAAGGATGTATACTGCATAGTGCTATTGTTATAAAACAGGACTGACATCGAGGTTTGGAGGAACCTAAGAAAAAGGGATAAATAATGTATACTGCATTGAAACAGATGAGGGAGAGAACTGTTTAAAAGGAATATATGATTAGGTATTCATGAGAAGAGTCCAGAATAAGAGCTGCATAGTAAAGTGGACTGGGGTGTGTGTGTGTGGGGGGGGGTATTGTAGAACAATGAAAGATTTTTTTCTTTTCAAAGGGAAAAGCAAACTAGGGGCAAGGGGTGGGCAGGGAGGGAAATGTGCAGCAATGTATGAATGGAAATCCAAATTCTCTGTAAACTTTCATTAAAAAAAAAGAAGATAGAGGGTGTGATTTCCCCTTTGCCCACCCTCATATCTTTGCTCCCACTCCTTCCCTCTTGAACCTCCATACATGGTTTACTAGTTATCCTTCTATTTTAACAATAATAGTCTTATTCAGTATTTGTTTTTATGAGACTGAGTTCACTCAGCATAATGCTCTCCATTTTCTCCCAAGTTATGTAGTATTTTTCGAAATTATTCCTGAGTGCTGTGTGGTGTTCCATTGTGAATGTGTCACAGTTTCTCAATCCATTCGGTTGTGGTTGGACATTTGGCTGTTTCCATATTCTTGAGATGGTGAATAATGCTTCTATGAACATTAGTGTACAAATCTCCGTTTGTGTCTCTGTTCTAATTTCCTTGAGGTATATTCCTAACAGTGGAATAGCTGGGTCATATGGAGTTTCTCTGTTCAACTTTTTCTGGAAATGTGTGTTAAACACAGTGTATACAAATTTTGTATGCAAACCAATATAACAAATTAAAAAAAAAAAGAAATGGAAAGAAGATACAAAGTCACTGTACCAAAAATGATTAATTGACACTGAGATAGTTCAGGTTGTAGTATATGAAAAGGAAGCAGTGTTAATAAAGAAATTGTTCAAACTGCATTGAAGGCATCCCCCACACACACCCCAGTCTACTTTACTATGCAGCTCTGATTCTGGACTCTTGTCATGAAATCAAAAGATGTGTTGTATGGGGAAGTCTGCTGTCAAAGATCTCTCCAAAATACTAAAGAGCAATGATGTCAATTTAAAGACTAAAGTGCACCTGATTCAGGTCATGTTTGGTTCCCTCCCTCCCCAAGTCATTTGCTAGTTGTATGAAATTTGACAAAAAATAAGACCCCGAGAATAAATGGGATACCAATTCAGTTGTTTAAACATTTCAAAGCAGCCCTTGAAGTGTTCGCCAGTTTAGATCAAGAAATCTGGAACCAAACAACTGACTGAAAGAGATCCATATTTGTCCTCATTCTCAGGAAAGGCAATCCAACAACATGTGGAAATTATTGAACAACATCATTAATATCATATGCAAGCAAAATACTGCTGAAGATTATTCAAAGCAGCTGGAACAGTACATTGACAGGAAACTCCCAAAGGTTCAAGCTGAGCATAGAAGAGGCTATGGCACCAGGAATATTATTGCTGATGTAAACTAGATCTTGGCTGAAAGTAGAAGAAAGTCTATTTGTGGTGTTTTGGGGTGTTTTTTGTTGTTGTTGTTGTTGTTGCTTTTACTATGCAAAGGCATTTCATTGTGGATCATAACAAATTATGGCTAACAGTGGGAAGAATAGGAATTCCAGAATACTTAATTGAAACCTCATATGAAACCTATACTTAGACAAAGAAGCTCTTGTCTGATTAGAGTGAGGAACACTGCATGGTTTACAATCAGAGTATGCGTCAGGACTCTATCCTTTCTCTATGCCTATTAAATCTATATGCTGAACAAATCGTTCAAGAAACTGGACTTGATGAAGAGGAACGTAGCATCAGGATTGGAGGATGACTCATCAGCAACTTGCATTTTGCAGATGATGAAACCTTACTTGCTGAAAGTGAGGATGATTTGAAACTCTTGCTGAAGAAAATCAAAGAGTACAACTTTGAGTATGGATTACATCTCAACATCAAGTAGACAAACATCCTCACCACTGGGCCAGTAGGCAGCAACATGATAGATGTAGAAAAGATTGGAGTCAGTGATTTCATTTTACTCAGATCCACAGTCAATATCCTTGGTAATAGTAGTCACGAAATCAAAAGATGTGTTGCATTGGGGAAAGTCTGCTGTCAAAGATCTCTCAAAAAGACTAAGGAGCAATTGATGTCACTTTAAAGACTTAAGATGCACCTGATACAGGGTGTGGGGTTTTTTTGAGGATTTTCCCCCCCTGGTGACTAGTTTTACATATAAAATTTGAACAGTGAATGACAAAAGACGAATTCAGACACAACGTGAGCCGCGTATAAAGGGACTGAAGCCTCACTGGCTCTGGCCGCATCAATGCGGGAAGTCCGGACTCCGGAACGGATTTTAAAGAGGAGGCCGCGGGAGCGGCAATGGCAGAGAGGCCTGAGGATCTAAATCTGCCCAATGCCGTCTTCACCCGGATCATCAAGGAGGCGCTCCCAGACGGGGTCAATATACCTTAGAAGAAGCCATTCTGAAGCGTACATATTTATGAGTTTACCTGCTGAGCAGAGTAGTCTTAGGCAGAAGGGCCTGAAGAGATGGAAATAAAACTTGACTAAAATTGTCATCAAAACCAGTGCTTCCTAGAATTGGGGTATCTGAGTAGCAAAATCTTATTTTGCTTAATCAGTCTGAAGGTTGTGACTTTTTAACAAGAGGAATTCAGAATAGCTAAGGGAAATTAGCCACTTTGATCTCACTTGTTTAGTTCTGTGTATGGTTAAGCAGTTTTTTATTCCTGGTTCCTTCATCTTCCCCTCCCCTAATCTCTAAAAATGGTAATCCTTCCATCCCCCCTGCTGTTGAGCCATTTGAGGCTCAGGGTAAATGTGGGCATTGATCAGGGTGAGGTATCTGATTGTCCAGGGTGTGGCAATATGACAAGATGGTTTCAATTTAGGAGACAGCCAACAAGCTGGAGGAGAATAGTGAAAACTATTGTCTCTTCACTTGATTTAAAAACCCTTATGTTTTACATGTAGGTATGTGACTTGCTTCAGTGGCTATGCTCTGGACATACATGTTTTTACATTCTTATTACAGAATGTAACCACCCAAGCAAGACTGCCAATGTTTTATTCTTACAAAAGAAATGATTTAGTCTTAGTTGTACTTTGTTGTCTGCCACTTAACAGCTTTAAGATTTATCTTCACCCCCTGGAAGGTGTAAAATCCCAGGCTTTCAACTGTAATTCATCAGCTAGATTTGTGACCAGCTTTTCATTCTTCAGTTCATGAGTTCTAAACTTCATAATCTCAAGGCACAACTGCTCCCTCTGTTTTTTTCTCTACCTTCCTGTGCTGTGTCCCATGCTACTTTCTTCCCTCATCCTGATTCCCACCTTTTCACCTTTCTGCCAATTCAGGAACATTGAAAACCTGCTTAATCTATAAAAGTGTAAAATTCTCATATTCTTTATTATATTTTCATGTTTTTGTAAAAACAATAGTTTTTGTAAAATCAATACTGTAAAACTGTAAACCTTAAGGGAAATGTGATGGTGCTCAGGAATCTAATTCCCCCAAACCATCTATCCCCTTTAATGACTTATAAAGTATTTGGTCTTTCTTAGCCTTCTTTCTCTTCAGTATTCCAAGTACTTTCTGTCTGTAAGTTAGAGTGCTTGGTTTGACAGGTAGTTTGAAGTGTAGTTTGGCACTGTTAACTTGTTAAATGAATACAGTGAAAAGTTTGCTAGTGAGTGGAGAATTGAGAGAACTATCATTCATTGTGTAAATAAAGACCATTTTTGTTGAAAGTGAAAAAAAAAAAGACGAATTCATGCCTTTGAGTTGTAGTGTTGGATAAAAGTACTGAATATCCCATTGACTGTCAAAAGAACAAACTTATATGTTTTGGAGAAAGTGCAATAAGGATGACCCTTGGAGGCAAGGATGATGAAGCTTCATCGCATGAACTTCGACCATGTTATTAGTAGGGACTGTTCTTTGGAAATGGATAGCATGCTTGGGAAAATGGAGAATCAGTGAAAGAGAGGAAGACCTTCAACCAGATTAATTGACGTGGTGACTATAACAATGGGCACAAGTATGTCAGAAAAGATGAAGATGTGGCTGGATAGGATAAGGTTTGGATCTGTTGTTCATAGGGTTACTATGAGTCCTACTCGACTCGATGGTACCTAACAACAGCATTTCTCTGCTTTGTCTGTAACATGGTGTTAAGCTCGGATTGGAGCTCCAAAATTAAGTCAAGGGCTCCTAGGAAATGAAAATAAAATAATTTTAGCAAATTAAGTTAGAAGGCAGCCTTGGTCATCACAATATAAAAAGTTGTTTATGTCTTTCAGATGCGTGATTTAAAAGCTGTTGGAAAAAAATTTATGCATGTTTTGTACCCAAGAAAAAGTAATAGTCTTTTGAAAGATTGTAAGTACATAATGTAAATGAACTTTTTGCCAGAATTTTAAAACATAGAATGTCAGAGTGGATGATTTTGCTTAAGATACTGTTATGATATATAGATATAGATATAAGAGAGAGAGACACACACACTGCTATAATAAACATTGTGAGAAATCATTCTGAAAGCTACTTTGGTCAACCAAAAAGCAAGCAATCTATGACAAAGTGCAAAATGTTTACATTTACAGTTAAAATAATGAAATGAATTATTGTTTACATAGACTTTTAAAGTGATTAAGAAATAAAATTTTTAAAATTACTAAATGACTGTTACCTTTATATTTCTATTTCAAAATTCTCATTTACTTTGATTGCTTTATGAAAATGTTCTATCAAAGTATCCTCAATATCCTCATGTAAAGATGTTAGAAGGTTCCAGATCTGCTGTTCATAGGGTCACAGTGAGTTGTAGTTGACTCAACGGCACCTAACAACAATGACAATCAAAGCAATGTTTGGGATAAATTATCCCCTTAGAATTTATTCTTTTCAAGCTGTCTTATTTTCTTAGTAACCTTTATGAAATAATTTAAATCAGTTATTTAAGAGTAGTAACAATGTTTATGAGTATACCTTCTATTTTTACAATATTTCAGTTATAATGTAGGAGTAGCAAGTATGTGGCAATTGTAATATCATTCCTTGTATAAACTTACTGCAATATCAGAATCTTCCTCAACACAGTACACTGTAGATTTGAGCTGTTAGATGATTTGAAGCTGATTTTCTACCCATGATATAATGGAAAGAACATAAATCTAGGGTCAAATAGTGGTTCTATAAATATGAGATAGTTTTCTGAATTTAAACTTTTTTTTATCTGTTAAAGTGGAGATAACATATACTTTTCTTGTGAGAAATCCCTGGGTGGTACAAATGGTTAAGTGTTTAATTATTAGCCAAAATATTGGCAACTGGAATGCACCCAGAAGTGCCTTGGAAACCATGCCTTGTGATTGGCCTTGAAAACCCTGTGGAGAAGTTCTACCTTGCTGGTGAGAATTAGAGATAATGTGCATTCATAACCTTGCATAACTTTATGAAGGTGAATTTGAGGAAGACTTACCAACAATCTCTGTTGTACAGGTAACAAAACCTTTCTTATTGAAAGCGAGGAGGACTTGAGGTGCTTGCTGCAAAAGATCAAGGATTATAGCTTTCAATATAGGTAACATCTCAACTTTCAAGAAAACGAAATTCCTCACCACTGGGCCAATAGGCAGCATAATGACAGATGGAGAAAAGATTGAAATTGTCAACAATTTCATCTTACTTGGCTGTATAATTAACATCCTTGGTATTAGCAGTTGGGAGATGTGGAGACATATAACATTGGGAAAGTCTGTTGTCAGGGACCTCACCAAAGTTCTAAATAGCAATGATGTCAATTTAAAGACAGATGGATTTTGGGGATGCCTGCTGCTGTGTGACCATCCCAGGGACCAAACAAATAAAGACAATTTGGGACAGAGAGCTACAAGCAGGGGAAAATTTTTTTTTCTCAGCTGGCACACTGCAAAAAAGAGAGTTGACTTGAAACCCTGCTAGACACAAACTGCTTAAGTTGATGCCCCTGATCTCATGCCACTCTAGAGATAAAGGAAGATATTAGACTTCAGGAGAGAAGATGCCATCTGGTGAGACACTCTTCCTCAGAGCCAGCAATTTCGGGTGTACGGGAGAGAAGGGACCAAAACTCCCCTGTGGAAAGGTCCCTTCATTTGGGGATTCTTGCCACTAAGGGGCCATTTCACGGAACAAACAGGACAAGAGTGTTTGGGACAGAGTGCTACAATCAGTGGAAAGACTTTCTCAGATGGCATGCTGAGCTTCAGGAAAGAAACCCCCCCCTTTCCAGGACAGAAACTGTTTCAGTGAAGTACCTGGTCTCACACCACTCAGTCATTCCACAAACAAAAGAGGACCATAGAGATTGGTAGAAGGGACTACATTAAGATGAGATTCCTGCATGACTTTAGAAAAGGCATATTTTCTCAGAAAGGACTTCCAGTAGAGTGAGTGGCCCAACCCATCGATTAAGCATTTTTAAGCTGTTAACTAATCAATAACATCATAAAGATAAGAACTGTCAAGAACTTATACAGGCACAATAATGTTAAGAAAGCATTGGACAGCTTCAAACACTGAAAAAACAAATTAAGCTTCCTCAAAAAAAAAAAAAATCAGAATATTGCAGACCCAGTATTCCCCAGAGTCACGAAAGCAGAAGATATATGTTGATATGGACACATTGGAACAGTTATGGAAGAAGGGACAAATGATGGAAGAAACAATGGAAGCCAGAAATAAAAGGAATGTCCTAGAGGTGGAGAACCAGAAGAAATATATTGACGCAGAGTTATTTGAACAGCTACAGAAGAAGGTAAAAATGGTGGAAGAAACAATAAAAACAATTAAGAAAGCAAATACTCCAGAGATTTGGAGCCAGAAAAATTATATCGATGAGAAGGAACTTGCACAATTATGGAAGAAAATGCAAAAGATGGAAGAAAGAATTGAAACTATAGATAAAGAGATACAAGAATTTAAATAATCACCACATGACAAAGAAGGTAAAGCCAACACAGTACTGGAAATAACAGAAATACATGAAAATGCAATCCAGAATAGTAAGACTGAAATGGTAGAAGTGTCCAACACACTAGAGGGACAAAAAAGTAGAACAGAAGAGATGGAGCAGAGAGTCAGTGAGCTGGAAGACAAGAACCTCAGTGGAAGAAAAATCAGAAATGAGACATAAATGAAGAAAAACATTTGAATGATGTGAGATGACATAGAAATGAACAACATACATATGATTTGAATTAAAGAATATGAGAGAGATAGAGATAACAGGAAATTTTGGAAGAGGTACTAGAAAACTTCCCAGGTATTGTGAAGAATGGAAAAATCCACATTCAAGAAGCTCAACAAGCACCAAATAGACTAGATTTAAAAAAAAAAAAACAAACCAAAACCCACCAAAAAAAAAGTCAAATAAAATTCTCCGAAATAAAAAGGATAGGATAAGGATAAAGTCACAAAGGAAAGACAACTAGGTTAAATTCTGATTTCTCAGGAGAAATCATGTGAACAAGAAGACAATGGGATAGCATATACAGAAAGTTAACAGAAAATTGTCAACCAAGGATCCTGTGCTCAACAAAGCTGTCTATCACATATGAAGGACAGATGAGATACTTTGCAGAAAGAAGGAACTTACGGAATTTGTGAAAACAAGACTAAATCTACAAAAACTTTTAAGGGAAGTTCTTCACACAGAAAAGTGGATGGACTGTATAGTCACCAGAAACAACAGGAAAAAGAAGCAGCAAAATGGCTGTGATAAAATCTGGCCTGTCAATAATCGTACTTAATGTGAATAACTTAACTGCACCAATTAAGAGGTAAAGAGTAGCAGAATTGCTAAAAAAACAAAGCCCATCAATATGTTGTCTACAAGAGACACATCTAAGAAACAAAGGAAAAGATAGACCCAAAACCAAAGACTGGAGAAAAGGGGAAAAATCCAGTGTGAAAAAACAATGTATATGAACTTTATGTACTTTGTATGTGAGCCAGTATACAAGAAACCCCAAAACCAAACACAGCAACAGCAACAACAACAACAAAAAGGCTGGGGAAAAAAAATATCAAGCAAATGACATCCACAAAAAAGCAGTAGTGTCAGTACTGATCTCTGATAAAATAGACTTCAGAGTGAATACCACCATAAGAGACGAGAAAAGACACATATAATGATTAAAGGCACAATAAATCAAGAAGATATGATCTTGACCAACATCTATGCACCAAATGATAAACCTGCAAGATACATAAAACAACATTTAACGGAATTGAAGAAATAGCATCATAATAGTGGTAGAATACTTTAACACAACACTCCCACCAAAAGACAGTCAAACTCAAAATGAACTTAACAAAGAAAGAAGCAAAATTAGTGGCCTAACTCAACATCTCTGTCAAATAGAAAAAGAACAACAATCTAACCACACACCTCTAGAAGAAAATAAATTATAAGAAAAAGTTGTTGTTGTTATGTGCTGTCGAGTCGTTTGCGACTCATAGCGACCCTATGCACAACAGCCCTAAACCCTGCTCTATCCTGTGCCAATCGCACTGCCTCTGACACACCCATCCCAATTACCCCAGTCACCGAATCAATCCATCTCATAGAGGGTCTTCCCCTCCTGTGCTGTCCCTCCACCCTCCCAAGCATATGTCCCTCTCCAAGGACCCGTCCCTCCTGGCAACATGCCCAAAATATGTCAGACGAAGCCCCAGAATCCTTGCCTCCAAGGAGTAGCTTGGTTTAATCCTCTCCAAGATGAATCTGTTTGTTTTCCTGGCAGTCCATGGTACATTCAGTACCCTTCTCCAGCACCACAGCTCAAAAGCATCCACTCTCCTTCTGTCCTCCCTAGTCATTGTCCAACTCTCTGATGCATAACAAGCGATTGCAAAGACCATGGCCTGTATCGGGTGCACCTTAGTCTCCAGAGAGACACCATTGCTCCTGAGTACTTTAGAGAGGTCCCTAACAGCAGATAAGAACAAGAGCTGAAATAAATCATACAGAAAACAGAAAAACATTCGTAACCATCAACAAAACCAGGAGCTGTTTTTTGGGTTGTTTTTTTTTGTTTGTTTGTTTGTTTGTTTGTTTTAAATGGTCAATAAAACTGACAGGCATTGACAAACTTAACACAGAGTTACACAATTTTGTGAGTCGAAGGAGGGAATAAAGGAAATGGGAAAGATCAGGTGGGAACCTGAAAAGATTGGATAATGGTGAGCATAGTACAATGGTGATTAATTTTATGAAACCCTGGGTTGACCTGAAGCACTTGCTGCAGAAGGTCAAGGACTGCAGCCTTCAATATGGATTGAAGCCTAATATCATGAAAACAAAGATTGTCACCACTAAGTCGATTGGCAGTATCATGCTAGATGGTGAAGAGATTGAAATTGTTAACAGCTTTAGTTTGCTTGGCTCCAAAATCAACACTCTTGGCACCAGCAGCCATGAATTAAAAGATGAATTGCGTTGGGAAAGTCTGCTGTCAGAGACCTCTCCAAAGTACTGAAGAGCAACGATGTCAGTCTGGAGACTTAAGGTATGCCTCATTCAGGCCAAAGTGTTTGCAATTACTTGCTATGCATCAGAAAGCTGGATAATGATTAGGGATTATAGAAGGAGAACTGATGCCTTTGAGCTGCGGTGCTGGTAGGAGAACAAAGAGGTTCGTCCTAGAGAGAGTGAGACTAGGCTGCTCCTTGAAGACAAGGATTCTGAAGCTTTGTCTGACATACTTTGGACATGTTGCAAGGTGGGACCAGTCCTTGGAGAGGGACATTATTCTGGAAGAGTGGAGGGACAGCACAAGAGAGGAAGACTCTTGATGAGATGGATTTATTCAGTGATTGGGATAATGGGGGTTGGTGGGTCAGAGACAATGAGATTAACACAGGATAGAGCAGTTTTTAGGGCTGTTGTACATAGGGTTGCTATGAGTTGTAGGCGACTCGACAGCACATAACAACAACATGTTTGGGAATGATTATATGATACACAATGTCAATGACAAAGTGTGTTTGGGGAAATTAAAACATAATATTTAAAAAAGAAAGACTTGGATGTGCATGATTCAAGCCATGATCTTTCCAGTCATCTGTTGTGCATCTGAGAGCTGAACAATTACTTAAGGGTGACAAGAATTGATGCCTTTCAATTGTATTGTTGGAGAAGAGTAGTTAATATCTCATGGGCAGTCAAAAGAACAAATAGATATGTCTTGGGAAAAGTGCAATCAGAGTGCTCCTTAGAGGTGAGAATGGTAATGCTTTGTCTCACATATTTTGAGCATGTCATTAGAAGAAGCTATTCCTTGGAAAGGGGTATCATGTTTGAAAAGGTGTAGTGTCAGCAAAAGAGTGGAAGACCTTTAAGAGTTGGATTGATATAGTGACTATCACAAGGGCTCAAGTATGCCAGAGATGATGAGGATAGCATAGGATAGGGTTCAAATCTAGTAATCATAGGGTCACTGTGAGTCCCACTCACCTCTGTGGTACCTAACAACAGCAGCACATAACATTTAGCATTTTGTAGGAATTCCATAAATGGTGATTATTCTAGTACATCTTTTGTTATTTTATTTAATACATATAGCCACCTTCTGAAGCAGAGAGTGTTATTCCTATTCTATGGGTAAGAAAAGTCTCAGGGAATCTCAGCTTGTCATGATCCCATAGGTAGGATTAGAACTGAGAATTCAAATTCACTGACCCTTCTCTTTTACCACTGTTGTCCCAAATAAGAAATTGTCCTTTCAACTGCTGCTGGAATTAATTCTAAACAAAGTTACTTCAATCATAATGGAGATTAAGTTATGATTGACTCAGAGAACATAATGAAAATGCATGTTATTACAGTGACATTGTGTTAATTTTTTTATTAATGTTGAGTGTTTGCTACCTTATATAAATGCCCATTTTTAACTTTTGGTGATATTTAAGCTTGGCACAAAGAGTAAGCAAGTCATGGCCAAGAATTACATTTGTTCTCTACTCTGTTATACTAGAACCTGCCAAGGGAGCAAGGAAAACATTCATGACTTTAAAAGATAGCTTAAAAAACTGTTACATTTTTTTAAATAATTTTTTAATTTTATTATTTTGTATGTGTGTGTGTGTACTGTCAAATCAGATCTGACTGGTATGGGAGGAGATTGCCCCTCTATCTCCCTCAGAGCATCTGGTGGATTCAAATCACATACCTCTGGAATTGCAGTGCAGCTTCTTGCCACTAGGCCACCAGAGCTCCCTTGTTACATATTTTAATATTTTGGTGTGCTGAGAGACACTATTAATGTCATTACACTGTTTTTCAACTTGTTTATCTGGTGTGGCTGTCACAAAAATGCCACAAGTGGATGGCATTAACAAACAGACATTTGTTCTCATAGTTTCAGAAGCTATATTCCCCAAATCAGAAGGCCATCTCTAGGGGGATGTCTTTTCTCTGTTGTCACTAGGAGAAGGTCATTGTTTCATTTCAGTATCTCTGGACTCAGTCCTTAGAGATCTCCATGTATCTTGGCATTAATCTTCCTTAGGTCTCAGGGATTCTCATTGAAGTGTCACTAGGTCCTCAGGCTCCATCCACTCCTGGCTTTTATTAGTCGTAGTACTCAAGTCCCTCCTTTTCTGTTCTCTTGTCTCTCCCTTCTCACTTATAAGAGAAAAATCATCCAGGCCACACCCCATGGAAACTCCCTTGCATAGGATTAAGTAAATAGGATGCACCTCAACCTAATCTTCTTACAACTAATTGATCATCAGATCTGATCATGGGTGATGATTATACCATTACTTTACTGTCAAAGCAAAGAAAATTATGGCCCAGCCAAGTTGGCATATTTTAGGGACTACGTTTCAATCAATGACCCAGCAGACACATGACAAAACAAAAACACCTGGTAAAAATTACTAACTTTATTAAAGTGGCTGTGTGGATCATAACAAACTGTGGCTGACTCTGAGAAGAATGGGAATCCCAGAACATTTAATTGTGCTAATACGAAACCTA